AAAAAAAAAAAAAAAGAATTATAGCCATACCATCCACAATTCTAAACTATATATAAAAGTCTCACAAAAGCACTAATGAATTGCCATTAATACTGCTTTGAAAAAGGGATTTTACTCCAAATAAAGTAGCTGAAATGGAATCACAAGTCCATAAATTTTGTAATTTTCTCCAAGCCATTTTGTTTTCTTTACTTAGAGCCTGAAGGAATGAATTTGGGGGGTAGGGTGAGCCTGAGTAGGGTCCTATGTCTAGGGTTTGTGTGGGGAAGGAAGAGATGAACAGCCAGAGATGTACATGAGGGTGTGGAAAAAGATACCCAGATATGTGAGCAAAATATAGAAAGAGATCTCCAAGACTAAAATACTGCTGAAGGTGCAGCCTACATATCCTTGCTGCCAGTAACCTGGGAATCACCCCGACATTCTCTCATCCTCACTCAACAGGCCATGTCATCTGCCACGTCCCTAGTTCAAGGAACCATCATCTGCCCTCTGGTCCACCTTCCCTGCCTCCCAACTCTCTCCTTGCCTCTGAACCGACCCCTTTCAAGGTAAGCCCTTTGCCACTTTTAACCTATGGCCTCCCGAAATCACCACTCTGATCCACGTAACACCTGTGACCATCTGCAATTGCAAATCTGATCCATGTAAAGTCCACATCCTTTAGAAGGAAACACAAGTGCGACGATTTGGTCCAGAGAGATTATGGCTGGCACCCTGAGATTCTTCTGCACTGTTGTGTAAAACAGACAAGATGGCAAGAGTAGTGTTTCTGAGAATTCATTCAAAAGAGATTAAAAGTAAGAAAAATCTATATAGTACACAGTTTTCCCATCGAACAATGATTTTAGGAAAATAACTTACAATTGAGAATATGAGTTTATCTTCCCTTTACTAGTTCACTTAGTTCTTCCAATATTCCATACTAACATAAAATCTAGGATGTACCAGTAGCTGAGACATGTGAGAAACTTCTGTACTTTCATCAAACTTGTGCAACAAGCTTTCCACACTGCATAATTTGTTAGAATAATCATTTCTTCATATGACATTTAGCAATATTTTCCAATGCTATTTCCTGACAAAGAAAAAATTTAATTTAATTTTGTGTCATTGTTTTCTTCGAATTATCATAGCAGGAAGCTATGCTTTTCCCATATGGTATGTAACTTTTTGTGTTTTGATACTATATCAAGAAACTTCAGATCTTACAAGCAAGAAATTTCAGCAGGTCTCCTAATAATATATCAGTGAGTTTGACCAAATATTGTAAAATATTGACTTGAAGATTTCAAGACTGTAAGCATCACCAAAGTGGTTGGATCATATTCTGAGCACCTGTTTTCAAAGGTATGACTAATCAGTCTGGCCTCCTGATATTCTTAGTTTATATTTTCAGATACACTATTGTGATAGTTAATTTTGTCAACATGATTGGACCTTAGGGTATTCAGCTAAACATTATTTGTGGATGTGACTGGGAGGGTGTTTCCAGATGAGAGGAGCATTTGAATCTGTGGACTCAGTAAAGCAGATCATCCTCCCCGGTGAGGATGGGCACCATCCAATCTATTGGGAGCAGGAATGAAACAAAAGGTAGAAGAAAAGAGAATTTATCCCCATGGATTATCAAAACTTTCTCTTTTTTTTTTTTCTCTGAAAATCCAGTTTATTTTCCATGTTGAGGACAGATCCAGTCAGTGGGATCAGTTTTTCTGCATGTGTAATAATTTATCAAAATAAGTTTTCCCACAAGACTCTTTTCCATCAACTCTGAAAATCCTCTGACAACATATCCAAATAAAGCTCTTGAAAATCACCTCTTTAAATTTGGAAGAAAATGTGGCGAGTCTTTCCAGTAACATTTACTGCACTACAAATGGCTAAAGAGCAATCTATATCTTAAAAGGTAACTAGTACAACAGTTGAGTTCAGGAAATTAATGTTTTAGTACATTGTGCTCCAGTTTTAGCCAACATGCTACATTTTCCTTTTTGTTTGTCTGGGGGAGGGTTGGAGGAGCACACAAAGTGGACTTGAGGATTTCCATTGTACGAAAAGATATGACTCTGCAAGCAAAGCAGTGTAAGCTGCCTTTTTTCTTAAGACCTGGACATTTTAAGACAGAAGCTTTGCCAAACGTTACACAATTTTTTTATTATCAAATGAGAAAATCTCATTGGTTACATCGTCACATTGCTAGTCAGAGAAATGCTGCAGTGATGAAGAAAGTCAATGCTGGGTCAACCAAAGTCCTCATTTCTACAACATTCATTTACAGAGAAATAATGTTCGACACAGCCCAACACAACATTCTTGGCTTTCTTCACATTGAAGTCCCCCCCCCAAAATCTTCTAATGGGGTATTTCACTACATAAATTATAGTTCTTCATTTTTACAATTCACCCCAAACTGTACGAAAGATGTATCACACTAAAACTTCTAAAGCTGTTAGGAAATCCTTCACACATCGTCGTCATCCAGTGTGTCACTGCTACTTGTCTCTGTGTCATCATTCTCAATTGTGGGTTTGAAAGTGCTGTTTTTCCAAGGTCCAAACTTGAAGTCACAGGTCAGGCCATTTTTCAAAATGCCGTTTTTTCTCAGACCATTCTTCTGTAACTGTTCACTGATAACTTGGAATTCTCTCATTTCATCCTCAGTTAAAGGAGCACATGTTTCATCATTTTCACTGCCTTCCTGCCAGCCCATCTCCTTCAACAGTCTGTGTTCTGCCTCAAGTGAACTTGAAAGAACGTCAGTTTGCAGGAAGGTTGAAGAATGAATGACTTGTTGGGAAATCACTGAGACATTGCCATTCTCTTGCGGAATTTCATTTTCATCCAAGTTCCAGTTTATATCCCTTTCTTGGTGAGTGCTATTGCTGTTATGTAAATTAAATGAGTCTTCATCCTTCTCTGAGCCAGCATGGCTTTCATCTTCATGTTCCTCTTCTACTCTGTCCCTTTTCAATGCTTTCAAAAATTCACTCTTCTTATCAGTGCACATTCATGTCAGTTTGGTTAGAGGAGGCTGCTGATTAAGTTTGTCAACAGGTGAAGAGGAATTTGAGCAATTACACTCTTTCACTGAATTAGCTGATGGACTAAAATTCTTGGCAGTTGATTTAAAAGCATGAAAGTTGCCAACACCATATGTAGACTCATTGGGGAAAGAAGTCCCAACTTTATTTTCTTTAGTTTGGCTTTTCCATGGTATAGGTGTTATAGGTGGAGCAGCAGGTTTGGGGACTAAACCTTTATAAACACTGGGACCAGTTCCGTTCTTAACTGGCTGTGACTGAAGATTTCCTACTACTGGGAATCCAGATAGCTGTAAGTCTTTTGTATTACCTTTCTTAATGACCAGCATCCTTGGAGCTCTAGATTTAGGATTCAGAGGATATTCTAAGAGAGGAGCTTGGGAGATTTTTTTGGTTGGGTATGTGTGTGTCTGGGCGTGTAGGCCCCATACACCTGCAGCTAAAGATTTATTCTGATTTGGTTCTCTCTCATATTCAGGATTTAAAGATGGAAAATCCTCAGCCTCAAACTGTTTGCATTCTCTCTTATCTTCTTTCCTCCCAGTTTCATTGTCAGGTATGTTGTTTTCATGTAATCCTTGGCTTTTTCCAGAATGGAAAATACTGCTATGAGAACAGGAACTTCCACCATGGTATCTCTTTCAATGATCTATGTTTTCAGTACCATTTCTTCCATGTGTATGCCATCCATTTTTTTCTTTCCTTCCAAAGTTACCTCCATTAGAACGTCCAATACCAGAATCAAAGCCATCTGAAGAATTGTGTCGTCGACAATTCACATCATATCAGTTTTCTGTCCATGAAAAGTTTTCAGAATGCTTCTCAAAATTCAATGAAGAATTTGTTGATGATGGTGGAGTAGGAAAATTAAGCCAGGCTGGAGCAAAGTCATGCTGCGCCATTTAGGTCCAGTCTCTCCAACTCAGTGAAACAAGGCTTCAACACCTCATGGCAAGTCCAAATTCCAAGAGGACTGCACAGGAAGGTGTTGGTTTTTTCTCTGTAATCTTTATGTTTTCCAGTTTGTTTTTTTATTTTGTATCCTCTGAAATAATATCCAACTTCTTTGAAGATACTTAACCTATGACTATTTGACATAGAGTTACTTCAAGTCAGCTACCCATACTTCTGTTTTAAAGTTTTCGTATGGCTATCTCCAGAATTAGCCACGTTCCTTGGATTTAAGATCAAGAAGTCTTCTGTGTTATTCCATGTACTTGCCACGGTTGTACTTATCCACTCCAGATGAAATATCTAATTTATAAGCCAAAAAGCAAAAACAAAAAGAAAATTTCACATCTGAAAAGCATTCCTAAATATCATGACATAGACACACATAGCTATCTCAATACTACCATGCTGCTGGGAAACAGCAACATCTTAAATTTGCATGTAAATAAAAGATAAAAGGGAAAAAATTTTGTATTCTTTCAATGTATTCATTTAGAAAAGCTGTTCCATTGTGACATGAAAAGGACTGAAGTCAAAAATTCCTAAAACTTCTAATAAAGGTAAAAATAAACTGCCATGAAACTTCAGCAATATTTAAACAGTCATTTGAAACTGGTGAAACTATTCAGTATACAACTCAAACATATCTTACAGTTCTGGCTGAAGAACACCAATAACAGGGAAGGGGGGGCCAAAAAAAAAATACCACCAGCTGAAATACTTTTAACCAGTTATATAATCCGCTTGAATCAAAAATACTGAAAAAATGCCTGAGTCTCCCTTTATGTAGTTTGTTCAACTGTTCACTACTGTCAATTCACTTCAAAGACGACTCTTGCCAATTTTAATAAACTTCTGGGGCAAAATTATCCAAAAACATTGTAACTCCAATACGGCCACTTAAAATTATCCAGGCCTTTTACACAAAACCTAGAAGATGATCTTCATATCTGAGAAATTCAGTCACCTTCTGCTCCACCAGAGGTGCCCCTGGCCTGGGGGTACCACTGCTCGATCCCAGGAGGACATTTTCGGTACTTTGAATAATCCCCCTTTTGCCACTTTTCTCTCCTCCACAACCAGTCTCAGTCCTCAACACTTTTTTAAGGGCATTATTGGAAATGGGCATTCACTAGAAATGATCATTAGTAACTTTAAATCTAATCACATCCATGCTTAAGCTAGAACATCCCTTGGTCTCGAACTTACACCATTATCTCCCGTAGTTCTCAGGTCTTCAGATACAGACTGAATTACATCTCTGGATTTCTTGGCCTTTAAACTGGTCCCTTTCAAGGCACTTTGCCATGTCCAGCCAATGACCTAGGTCTCCAGCTGGCAGATCATGGGACACACAGTCATGTGTGTCCATTCTTTATAAGTCTCTTTCTATTTAGAGCAAACCATTGATTAATAGATATAGAGGTATAGTCTCTTTATCCAGAAAACCCTTACACTAGCATAGGTTTTGGTGCCAAGGTTAGTTCTAAGGCAATAGAATGCTAAGGATGAGTTTTCTGAATTGGTTCTGGAATTTGTAAAATTAACTCTCTAACCTGATTAGATTTCAAGATACTAATGATTATTTCTGGTAGTAAAGAAAGCACTGATAGTCCATGGCATAATCTGGCAATAGAGACACACAAAATAACTATATTGGCTGCCCCTAATCAGCCACCTATAAGAAGCAAGGAGCTGGGAGACTGTGTGTATTATACTTTTGAAAATTTTTGGAAAAATAGTGAACATAATAAAATTGGCTGGTTACTCTTAACATTGCTGGACAAAATGGTATAAGAAAAGGATGAACTCTGGGATTCAAGCTCCCGTCACACACGGTATGAATGACGTCAAAGTTTCTATGTGTGCCCTGAAGGAGACCATCATCTCTTATATCTGATACAGATTGCTGAAAGTCAAATACAGAATCTCATCTTACAACTCACCAAATTGTAATATGACACAACCTGAAGCTCTAGGTTCATAGGGTATCTACTGTTAAAGTGAGGGCATTGACGGGGAAAAAGTAGGATCCTACAGATCCAGATGGGGACATGTGAGAAAAACCTGGGTGATGCTGGGGACATTGAGCTCCTAAATTCTGATGAATTCTCTTTGCCAGTAGAAGAGGTCTTTGAACTCAATCTCAGAAGCCTTCAGGTCATTCCTGCAGGCTCTCCCACCCCCAGCAGAAGCAGCCTTTCCACACTGAGGGGGAAGTGGCCTCCCACCTCTCGGTGGTAGCAGCTTCCCCACCCCAGTGAAAGTGGCCTCTCCACCCCGTCCAAGAGGATTAACACTGCATTTCCTAAGAAACTGTACTGCCACCACTCTGGGAGGTCACCTTGTAAGACAATACTCATTTATCTCAGGACCTGCCTTCAAAATCCCTCTTTGCTTCTAGACCGATCACTAGACTCATCCCAGTAGGCCACTACAGGTGAGGTACAAAGCATGACCCCAAAGGAAGTACAGTGCACTCCAAAATAACTACTTGAGCTTTCTAATTCATACAGACAGAAATCCAGGGAACATATGTGGGAATGCATATATAATATTTGGGGAAATGGTGAAAGATATAGAAAGTTGAATCTAGCCAAACGTATTGACGTGGGCCAACTAAACAGAAATTGTGCATTTAATGTTGAGTTCAGGAAGTTAGAAAGGGCTCTACAGTTTGAGTAGCTGGCTAAAATTAGGGACCAAAAGGTGTCCCGCAGTGAGTGAACTGGAAATACCCAACCCACTTTGGTTTAATGTAGAGGAAGGGATTCAAAGTTTTAGGGAGATTGTAATGTTAGAGTGGATTTGTCATTTAAGGCCCACTCACCCACTCCGGGAGGGTCTACCTTTCACCACTGTTGTGAGAAATAAATATATGAGGGGAGCCTCAACATCCTTGAAGAGCTCTGCAATTGCCCTTCTCTGTAGGCCGGACCTCACAGTGGGAACTACAGCCTCTGAATTGGGAAATCTAGATTGGAAAACCAATTGGAAGTAATTGGATCCTGGAGTTCAGGGGCCAAATAGCAGTACTTAACAGGCAAAAGAAAGCAGGGTCAATTATCATAGTGCACAGTAGAGTTAAAGCAGCAGTCAAAATACTCTGCCTTGTACAGACTTACAGCATGGGCTAATCAATTGATCATGGTGTTCCTAGAACTAAAATAGGAACTGCATTCTTTCTTAACCTCAGTAAGCAGAAGTTTTAGGTCAAGTGAACCAAGTCTAACCTGTATCATAAAAATGAAATTAAAACGCTTTGATCAATTTCCAGACCTGAGATAGTTTAGGGACTCACAACTCCTTGAAGAAAGGGGAGGTAAGGTCCTCTGAAAAAGGAGCTAATTCACTACTTAAAACTTATATTAATATTTCTCCCAGATTCCTCCAAAGGGACTTATGGCCTTTTCACAGAGTGTGTGTTGGGTACAAGGAAATAATCACATCTTTCCAGCACTACTGGACACTGGCTTTGAACTGACACACTAATTCCAGGAGACCCAAAATGTCACTGTGGTCCTCCATGCAAAGTAGGGGATTATGAAAGGCAGGTGACCAGTGGAGATTAGCCCAGTTTCATCTCACAGTGACACTAATGAGTCCCTGAAACCTTCCTGTGGTTATTTTCTCAGTTCTAGAACACTTTATTGACATAGATAAACTCCAGAAGCTGGCAAAACCTCACCTTGGTTGACTGACTTGCAGAGTAAGGTCTCTTACCATGGTAAAGGCCATGAGTAAGCCACTAGAACTGCCTCCACCTGGGAAAATGTAAACCAAAAGCAATACCACATTCCTGGTGGACTTTAGACCACCATTAAAGGATTCAAAGTATGCAGGGATGGTAATTCCCACCAAACCCCATTGCAACCCACCTATTTGACCTGTGCAAAGACAGATGGTTCTTGGGGAATGACACAGATGTCATGAGTTTAACAGGTGGTGACTGCAGTGATAGCTGCTGTTAACAGATGTGGTTTCATTGCTTGAGCAAACTAACACCCCCAGAAGCCTGGTGCCACTTGTTGATCTGGCAAATGTCTTATTCTCCATACCTGTTCATAAGGTCCCACAGAAGCAGTTTGCTTTCTGGAGGCAAAACCAGAAAGACCACTTCATTTTCCAACCCCAGGGGAGTTGCTTAACTGAATCCTTAACTTTCCCAATCCTATGTCACAGTTTAATTGTCAGGAACCATCGTCACCTTCCTTTCCAAAGGTTAGTCCAGTGATCCACTGTACTGATGACACTCTCCTGTTTGAGTCTAAAGAGTGAGAAGTGGCTTCTACTTTGGATGTATTAGTGATATTTGTGTGACGGAGGGTGAAAAATAAACCAAACAGAAATCCAGGGACCTTCACCTGGGTAATCTACGTAGGGGTACAGTGGTGTGGGGCATGTTGAGATGTACCTTCTAAGGTGGAAAGTAAATGGTTGCATTTGGCCCCTCACACAACAACAACAAGAAAAAGAAGCACCGTGCGTACTGAGCCTCTTTGAATTCTGGAAGGAACATACTCCTCATTTAGGTATGTTACTACAGACCCATTAACCATTCAGATTTTGGAGCAAAGCCCTAAAATCCTGCATAGATAATTTCTCTCCTCTTAAGAAACAACTCTTGGCTTGCTACTGAGGTTTAGCCAACACTGAGTGCTTAACCACAAGAGACAGAATCACCATGTTGCCTGACTGAGGAGACTGTCATGAATTGAGTGTCATTTGACACATCAAGCCATAAAGCTGACACGCCACTGTCAAACAGAAGTGGTGTATGTGCAATTGGGCCTGAGCAGATCCTGGTGCATGAGTAAGTGGCATGAAGAAGTGGCAAAATACCCAGGGTCCTCACTTCTGCCCCATTGCCTTCCACCAGGCGGCACTTGTGCCCTCATGGAGAGTTCCTCACTGTCAGTTGGCAGAGGAAGAGAAGACCTGGTCCTGGTTTTACACAATATGCCAACACCACTCAAAAGTGCACAGCCCACTCTGGGACACCCGCGAGCACAGTGGTGAAGGGAAACCCTCTCAGTGGACAGAACTTTGAGCAGCGCAACTGGGTGTCACTTTGCTTGGGAGGAGGAATGGCCAGACATGCAATTATACACTAATTCATGAGCTGCGGCTGATGGTTTCACTGGATGGTCAGTGACTTAGAAGAAACATGATTAAAAAGTGGTGACAAGGAAATGTAAAGAAGC